TGATTACATTAGGTATAGGATACCATCGTTTTTCCGGCTCTGATTGTACGTGATTGTTATTGCCATATGTTGTATTAACAATTGACTTCCTATTGAATGATGTTGGAGATGTATTAATTTCGTCTAATTCATCGTCGCTTTCACCTCTATCGCCCTCAATATAATTTTGCTGTTGTTTATTATTGTGAGAATGCAAATGTTCGTTAATTGTTGATGATGACATTAAATTTGTGCCATCGAGTAGTACATTTTGTTCAGATAATGATAAGTGCTCTTTCTCAGAACGTTGTGCTGTTGTACGCCGTTTATCATCAAATGATCTTTGTCGACCACGTGCAAATCGAATACCAGCTCGCATTCTCGATAAATGTAGAACGAGTGGAAGAATCTGCAATGGTAATATAAAATTATATCTTTCATCCTTAGAAGAAAAAAACACATCGATTCCCGGCAATAAAGAACTATTTAAACAATTAAATTGTTTTGTGCTGGTATGATATATTACTATCTGCCAAGGATTTAAATTTCTATTCTATACCTTAAAAGATGATATCGTAAAGGATGTTGAAGTTGCGTCCTGACTACTCTTACTCAACTTTTTTTTATAGAAAACAACGTGTATCAACTTCATTCTCTTAACTCTGAAACCGTTATTGATCTAGACTAGATGAAACATAAATTCATAGTTTATCACTATTATTCAAAAATAATTCTATTCTATTATTCTATTTATTCAGTTCGTAGAGAACTGAATAAATTTGTTTAAGATCAATTGTCAAACAAGACTCTGGTCTTTTGAACATGGTACAGGATTCTATTTGACAATTAATAACAGTGAATATGAGAATAATATTTTTGAATTTAGCTAAAAACGGAATGTTTTTGTAAATTAACTTTTTTTAGTCATAAAATAAGATAAAGCGAGGGTCAAAAGTTTTAAGGACTTTGTTTTTTTTGTGTTTTTTCTCATATCCATAATATATCAACGAGATTTTAGGCGTGGTATGGTTGTTAGCCCGAATAATATCTCCATACACCATTTAATAGCGATTGCGTCTATCGATGGCATACAAACAAAACTAAGATTTCGCTAGCGAACAAAATCTTAGGGCACTTGTGCAAGTCTTAACTTAATTTTGTGTTTCGTCTGTAATCGGGCGATGCACGACTAGTTGTCATGCAGATTACTAGTTGGAAAAGGGACTTTTAACTAGATATGTCTACATGTACAACTAGCAATAGTTAAATCAATCGATTACCGAACGGTAGGTAGTTCAATAGTTACCAATATCTAAAAATTGTAGAAAATTCAATAAACTATAACTCTGATACAATCATGAAAACAAGAAATTTCAAGATCTGGAAAAATTACTGAAAAAACTCACGGTCTTAGTTACAAGAAGTGTCATTTAGGATACAGGTTTGAAAGAAAAGTTTGAATATAGAGTATGCAAGTATGGCACACTGCACAGCTCTAATGTGGTAGCATGAGACGCCGGCCTTGAGCGAAAGAGATGATTTCTCGTGTCAACTCTTTGGATCGCTGTTTTACCTGTATCCAAATGGATTTTATCAAAAAAGAAAATCTCGATAATGGGTGATATTTTGTCAAACGTACTGAATCGTTAAATATTAAATATATTAGCACGACTAGTACAACTCGAGCTCCTGATGACGAATATCACGTGTAGAAATTTTAAAACAATGGCGCGGTATCCTTTCATACCTAGGGAGGCTCTCATTTAAGCCTTATAAGTTTATAAAGTTTTTGGTGATATTTTACGCATATTGACAAAAAAAGTGTAGATTAATCAACTTAACCTATTTTTAAAATGTTGCGAGTGTGCTGAAATGGAAGTTTTTTTTTATGTATAGCTTTCAAAACATCAAAAGTATGTGTTTAGGCAGCCGTTAGAAATCTATACATAGATAAATTAAAATAACTTTGATTCTACTGAGACATTTTGCTTAAAACCTATCACAATTTTTGCACCAAAACGAGGGAACTGCATAATATAGAAAAGAAGAAAAAAGCCTAACAGAAGTTATTCCCTCCCGTTTTGTGTTGATCTATAGCACTGCACACGTGCATGTAGAGAAGGAAAGAAAACAAGACTTTTTTTCCTACGAAAACCGTTAACTCGTGTTAGTAACTGAACAAAGCAATTTAACGAATCATATGCTCTTTTATTTTTATTTAGCCTGTAATCCGTCCACGCCGTCGAAAAATAGACAATCTGTTCACACCGTTTCCGGCGGCTGTGGCCGAACTTGTAGAACGTCTGCGGACCACATGCACACAGTTTTTGAAGGAATCGATCTCATAGCACTATAATTGTTATTTTTTAGTTTGTGTTCCTCTGCTCCCTTATTGCCGCCTCGACAACTGTGGTTTTTATGAATTTGTTGTGCGTTTCATGCCCGAATTTTACTGATTTTTAGTTGAAGCATCTGGCATCTATGTTAAGCTTATTGAAGACATTTAGCTCAATCGGATAGTTAGCTACTTACTTTCTCCAAAATCCGACAGATTTCCGGAAAACTTTTCTCAATTCTGAAGCTAAAGTTTATTGAGATTTGTCCCAATATTGTACACGCTCACGCATATCGAGCCATATGGATCTATAACGATGATTACATTTCTAAAGCAGAAGAGATCAATTATATAGATAAAGAAGAAACTTAATCCATCATGGGCAGGAGCCTGTTTCTCAAAAAAACTTAAGTATTCCACTTAAGTGGATTTTTAAGGGAACAACTGAGTAGTACTTAAGAGACACTTAAGTTTCCCCTTAAGTGTGTTTCTTGAAAAAACTTAAGTTAAACAGAGGTCATGCAATAAAAACCACTCATATTTAACACATTTAGATTATTTTTACGAAATTGTTTGAACAAAATCCTTCTAAAATGATTTATTTCTATCTAATTATTGTGGGTCTGACTACGAAAAAATGTGAAATAAAGAAGTTACAAAATATAAATAATTTTTTACTTAAAAAATTAAGTGAAAATTTAAGAATGGTCGAGAGGTCCCTTAAGTTAAGACGCTTTCGAGAAACACACTTAGCAAAAAAATCTGACTCAAGTCAAATTTTTCACTTAAGCAAAACTTGAGGTTTTTTGAGAAACAGGCTTCAGAACGACTGAATTTTTAATGAAATTTGCGAAGTGATACAGCATAGAAATACAGCAAAAATTAGAAAAAATATGCGGAACATTTTTATGACTAGAGATTTTTCTTAGTTAATATACAGTCTCGAAAAGTAGAATGAGATTATTGCTCTCACCTACTATAACGGCGTAGGTCTAAGAAAAATAAGACATACTTTTGTAAAAAATATCATTTTCATTCCACTATGTAATCATTCCTTCTTGCGAACGTAAATACATAATTGATCTACTTGTCAAAAATTTTCTTCTGCGTAATTTAACGATATACCGCATCTTCATGGTGGCCGCATCATCCATATTGCCTTGCCTGATGCCATTCATCACGATAGACAAACAAAATATTTACTATGATAACTTTATCGGTTATTATTGCCCTCTACGCTTGAAATTGGCAGGCTTACTAAAAAAGTGAAAGTAAAAGTTCGTTATTCATTTTTAGCAAAGAAGAGGTTTGAGAATTGAAAAAGAAAACGATGAATGATATTACATCATTTAACTACAAATTAATCTGATATTTTTTATTTTTGGGTAAAGATTTAGCTCGTATAAACTGAAATCGGATTTAAACGAAAGTGTTCTTGAAAGATATGCGATGAAAATGACGTTTTTTCTGCTCTCAACTACAAAGTTTTTTATGTACACAGTGAATATACTTTTCGTCTGTTTAAAAATAAACAACGGGAAAAAATGTTATTTTTATTGTACATCTTTCAAGAACCCCTCTAAAAACCTAAATACTAAAAATCCTAATAGTTGTTCTGGACGATGCAATTTAAAAATATAAAAAAGTTCATATAATAGAATAAACGATGAGTTTCTGTCGATTTTTGAAGTCATTAATCACAGTTAAGTTTCATTTGAAACGAATTTCAGTATAACCTATGATGCAAAAGTAACTGGACAAATGTCTTTCCGTTTTTCTTATGGTAAAGCACGTTCCGAAAATATCAAAAATAGTTATTTTGAATGTGTACTTCGGGAGCTTTCTAATTATGTGTTCAGAAATATTCTATCACTTTTAGTCTTCTGGCAGTGAGCGAATCTTTGTTATCACCAAAAATTTAGGCTGTAACGATAAAAATTTTGGATATGTTTTTAACCACATCAAATGGAAAGACTATTCACTTTGGTTTACTTACTAGTTTATAAAGTAGAATTTTCTCCGGCAAAATAGCAGTTTTGTTATCGAAAATTCATCATGACAAGAAAAGAAATTACTTACCACCAATACCGATATTCATAAACAAAAAAAGAAATAAAATGTTTTAAAAATCCAAACAAAGTGACCATTAAAATAAATATCTGACGAAAACAAAATAAAGATTTCATACACATTGCAAATTTACTTTATCATTCATTGCTTTATTCCATCCTTCAACATTATCTTGATTACGAGGAAACCATCAATTAAAAAGTTCTGTTTACCACTTTTAATCATCGCCTAAATGAGATCAAAAGAATGTGACAACAATTACTTTTGTTAGTTGTTACATACTATTTAAAATAAGAGAAAAACGACTTTAGAATGACTTCCAGTCCAGGTACATCATAACTACGAGTGATTTTCAGAGGTTTCAAAATCAAGTGCTTAGGTTCTTATATCTCACGTATGTTTGGAGTGTTACAGGTAACATTAGAAAGACATTCTTCTCGAAGTATTTGCGAAGATACTCATACGTCCACAAAAAACCATTGGAAAATTTTGGAAAAGGCTATTGTAAAGAGAACACTTTTGCTCTATTAGATGATGTATACGAAAAAATTTTGAAGGATTAGAAGGAGGAAAAAAAACTTAGTTCTTTAATCCTATTAAAGCGAAGGCCTAAATGATGCATAACTTTTTTCCAGAAAGGTTATGAAACGCTGCAAATCATTTCATTTTGTAGCCCAGAATAATATTTTTCAGAGGCAGTGGAACAGTAGGCATAATGGGGATGACATCTCCATAGATTTCGAAATAGAAAAACGCCTACGGACGAGATACTGAGCGATCGCCATAAGTTTAAAGTTTTCTTTCTTTAAACTTGTCATATAATAGCTGTATCTTTCGCATCTTTGACTCCTTTTTCTCTGTTTATTACAAGCGTGTATTTGATGAACTATAAAGAAACGAGGATTGAATCCGTATTCGTCCCTAATTACTCGCACTCACTTTCAAAGTAGATAAAAGTAGACAATTTTATGCGTCCATATCGGAAAAATATCTCAATATTTATCGTTAGTTTTCTCAAAAAAAATTGTTCCAAAATCAGTAATTAATTGTCTGTCCATATATTGATTCTTTATCTGCACATTCTTCACGTAAAAGATCACCAGCTGAGAAATGAACATAGTCGTATTTCTACAAAAAATAATAGACAGAGGGAGTAATGTAAGACACGGGAATCCACAGTAACTTCTTTACCGATGTAATACGTTGACATAGCGTACCTTCGGCTAAAAAAAGAGACTAAAATGTTAGTCACGTAGCTACTGGATGAAATAAATATGCTTATTCACCAGCACCAGGACCGCCAAGTACAAACAGAACATTTGGCTTATTTGACATTGCTTTTCTTTCCACAAAACGTTTGATTTTTACTTTTAGAGTCTAAAAGACAATGACTAATTTTTGTAAGTGCGTATAGATCGAGATAGTTCATTGGAGAATCAGAAAACAGTTTTTTGTCAAAAATAAGACGTACAATATGTAAAAGTCATTTTTTAATGAACATCAATAACAGCATAGAGATAGTAATTTAAAAAGAGTACTATGTCTATGAACAAAAATATTTATACTTGTAACAATATAAAAACATACATTGACAGAAAGAAAAATACAACATGGCATTAAAAAATCTTCAAAAATAGAGAGTATTTGGGCGGAGTCTGAAGTAGTCTATTCAAACTAATTATCACAAAAACAGACATAACACATGTAAATGTCTGAAATAATGTCTTCATCCTTTCCATTCGGCTGTTTCTAAAACAGAGTAAAAAATGTTGCCAAATGGTAACATCAGGCTGGAAAGGTTAAAAAGCACCCATTAAAATGAAATTCATGAAAATAAGAAAATACTATACGTTCAAGTTAAAGTCGACATCAGAAAACAAACCAATAATTTTAAAAACAAAATAGTTTGAGAAATGAGAACGAATTTGCAGAATTTACTGTTTAAATAATAAATTAGTTGAGTAGAAATGAGAGTTCATCAATAAAAAACACGAGTGCGAACTTGAATACCACGTACACACATATTAACGTATAAATGCACTCTAAATAAACCAAATTTACAATTTCATATTGTCTTCTCAACTGCTTATATTCTTTTGCATAAAATGTTTTTCGATTAACATTTTTAATATTTTATTTGGATATAATGATTGATGTTTCAATGGTAAATTAGTTATTGGACTGGTTTTCTTTTGCAATATCCATTGTTCAATAGCATGTTTTTCATAACTGTAACCATCAGATGCACACATTGGCTCTAACATTAGTTCATGCGTTATTGGACAAAGAAATTCATTAGGTAAAGTGTAGGCGTTAATGTTCATTAATGTATTTTGGTTTACTCTTGCTGTTGTTGATCGTAATTGTTCAATAAAATATTTGTGTCTCAAACGATTTAATTCATTTAGAAATGTTTGACAATTGTTTTGATCTAGTTGCAATAAATTAATTAATTCTCTATCCGATTTATTTAATAAATCTTTTCCATGAAATAACTGTTTATGTTGTGTAATACCAATCTTATTTAACCACTGTTCAACTGTCTCATTTGTCCATTTATCTATCGGTAAAGTATGTTCATATGCAGCATTTGAATTTTGATATTCTTTTTCATTTTCATCCATTATAATTGTCCATAATTTCACTAAACGATCATTTGAGCCACTAGCTAACAGTTTTCCATTAAATGAAAACGAACACGTAGTTACATATCGTTCATGTGCTTCAAATTGTGTTAACAATTGTCCAGAAATATAATCCCAGATAATTATTGTTTTATCACCACTTCCTGAAGCTAATAAATGACTTGACTCTATTGGAGAATAAGCTACACACATAACAGCACACGCATGCCGAGATAATGTACGCATATATTTCAATGAAGAGGTTGTAGCTTGCCATAATTTAACGTTATTATCATTTCCACCCGACGCAATTAATTCATATTCATCTGTTCGATATTGTTGTTCTTGATTCATTAGTTCATCATCCAATATCGTCTTTCCATCATTTTTCGTAGTTTTATCATGTTTACTAAGTTCAACTGAACTTGTTTCAATTTTTTCAACAAAATTATATTTCGTATCTAAACATGTAACGCCTAAATCATGTGCTTCTCGCTCGAAATGGAGTGCAGCTTTATAAGACGTATTCACCATCCATAATTTAATATCACCGTAGAATGATCCGGAGATCAAATATTGATTATTAAATATAAATTTAAGCGTAACAATTGTAGCTGAATGGCCTGTAAATGTTTTTAATGGTTTCATACTACATGTTTTATCATTTTCTATGTCCCATAAATTAATAAGTTCATCATCGCCAGCTAAACAAAGACATTAAATAAATAATTATTAGAAATGTTGTTTATACACATAATAAAGTGTATTATTCTAAAAGAAAACTCTGATTAACAACGAATACCTTTGGTATTAGTGACTCATCAGAACTTTTATATACCTGTTGCTAATAATAAACCATCCGATGAAAATTGGCATACTCGTATGGGTGATTGACTCTCATGCTGAATGTTTTTAATGACGCTACCACTTTTGCAATCCCATATTAGACACGTGCCATCAGTTGATACGGATGCTAAATAATTATATTGTTCAATAGGTGAAAAAGATACACAATGTACTTGATATGTATGTTTTTTTAATGGAGATATAGTTCCATTTTCCATTAATGTGTCCAAATTCCAAGCACGTATTGTTTTATCTGACGAACATGAGACCAAAAGTTTGGGTGAAAATATACATGAATTAACATCGGAGGTGTGACCATACAATGTATGAAGGAGTTTTACGCATAGTTTGTTAGACTGCATCTGAAAATAAACAGATGAGAAACATTTATTCCAATTAAGAATTATTTGTATGACAAATAAGTAGATCATACTCTAAGATCTCGTCAATAAGTTGTTAGATTTCACTACAGAAGCAGCTCTTAATAAAAGCAATGAAATGATGTTTACCTCCAAAATCAATAACGACTGTATTCTGATATAATTCTTCTCGCTTTAAATGGTTAACTTTTTGTAAAAACGATATTTTTCTTATTATATTAACAGTTATGAATTGTTTATTATTATATACGACGTCTACGGAATAATCAAATAAAATCTCTGCTCAATGTGTTTTTTTCACTTTTTAGTTTGTATTGCAATTAGTGTAATATTCCTAGATTTATTCCGTCTAGAGATTTACTCACAGCATTTCTATGTGATTCTAAGATAGCTTCCCATCTCGTTAAATAGACTAAATGGAATAAAAGATCTATTTTAAATAATATTTAAATTAATTTCTATTGCTTTACCCTAAAAAAAAATCTATTACTTAACAGCTGAAAAGTTCTTCGAAATATTCGTTAAAAGTGATTTGTACCGTTTTTAATAAATATTTTAGTTAACTCACAAAACACTGTGAAAATTCAGCAAACTTTTAGAAACTTTGTCTCTCGTTTTCTTTATGCGATAGTTAATGATCACGTCAAACTCAATAGTATATTTTTTTTGTACATAGCATAAATGTACAAATAAATGCGGATTAAATCATTAAACAATTTCGTATGCATTTTTATGCTTTTATTTATAATAAAATATAAAGTTCAATCAGTCACTCGTTCTTGCTTAAACTTGATTGTAGAGATTCGGAAAAAAGATCCAATAATGTCGATGCTATATATAAAGTTACTTTTTTGTTATCTATTTTAATTATCGATTAAAAAGCCCTATGGAATAAGCATATTTTCAAACGACCTGCCGTATTCTTCTGTGAGACAACTAATAGCCTTGTGATTTTTTAGTACAACGACTACTTTCGACAAAAAAAATTTGTGAAATACGATAAGAATCTTATAAAACTCTTACTCAATTCTTATATAAGATCTTCCATGAAAGGGATAAGAATTCCGCCGAATCTTATAAGATTCGCATAGGCTTTCATAAGAAATTGGTAAGAATCGGCAGAACTCGTACGTTATTGTTATAAAAGTCTTATCACAATCTTGCAAGTTTCTTATGAGAAACTTGATCGATTCCTCTGCAGCATAC